CTTGGGAACATGCAGGAGGCAGCTGATTGATGATGTTTCTCATTGATGTTTCTCTCTACTCCCTTCCTCTCCTTCTAAAAATCAATAAAAACATTAAAAAAAAACAAAACAAGTAACAGAATACAAAATTTTATATTATAGTTAATTCTTAAACTGCTGCTTGTCAAGTTTTGGTGTAGTATCAAAGAACACCCACAGTTATCAGAAAAGGCTATTATTATTAACATGTATTTTCTTCTTTCTCACTGCATATTTGTGTGGGGCTACTTTTTTTCCACATAGTTCAATTGAAAAAACTATCACTGCAGACTGAATGTGGAAGCAGATACGAAAATCCAGCTGTCTTTTACTAAGCTAGACATGAAAGAAATTTGCAGAAGTTGTGAAACAGTATCATTATTGCCAGTAAGCTTATTTTTGTTTAGGAAAATTTTCATAAAATGTTATTTGTCATATTAAATATGTTATTAAAAAATTTAAACTAATTAATGAATAATTAAAAATTCTCATTTAATTTTTAATATGATTAATATTGGTAATTATAACTCACATTAACAAAAGCTCTTGGGAGTCCTCACTTTTTGAGAACACAAAGGAGACTAAATAGTTTACTAAAAAGTTTGAGAACTGGTTTTTTAAGGGAAAGAGGCTAGATTTATCAAATGGCTGAAGTTCTAAACTTTTATTCTGTTGAGTATTTCTTTGGAATATGGAGTACATGTGTCTAGTTTCTTTCCCTGGTTGTAAGGACATGTTACTGGACTTCCATATCATTACCCAAATGGGCAGAGGTTCCTGTGTTTTAAAGATTTTTATTTAAGATTGATGCTACCTATGTGGTTGCTATCCAGAACTGAGATATGGCTAATGGTCATTCCAATCAGCATATTTATTCTTGATACCATTCTTTTTGCTATGAGCTATTCATGCAACTTTCTGAGCTGTTACTATGGCAAGCTACTTTAGGGTTGTAGTGAAATTCACTTTGCTGAAAATTAACTGCCATGTTCTCTGAAGTCTTTCACTAGGCTTAATCTGTCTGCTGTTAGAGTCTTTCTGATATTTCATAGCTATTTTCTAGTCAGTTTACAACTTACGAATGCTTGTGAATGCGTTATTTGCAACAATATAATATGAATTACAGATGGATTTTATAGTGGCATTCATAGTATGGGTATAGTCTCATTGTGGACTGTTAACATCTTCCTGTGGTGAATTATATTTTGACTCCTAGAAATCTAGTCAAATACATTTTTCCATTGCAGTTAAATGGTGGCAAGAAACTCCCTTCTCCCTCTTAAAATAGAAACAGGAGTGTTAAAGCTTTAATAGAAGCAAGAGATATCTCATTCTGAAGCTGTACTCAAGAGACACGGGCATCTTAGATATCCCTAGTGGGTAGAGGGTGGTGGGTAACACTCTCAGATGAAGCAAGTATAGAAACTTTGGGCTAATTAGCAATGGTTGAGGGAAAAAGGAGAAGATGTTTTGCTTGGAGGTAATATATTCCCTTTTGGGGCAGTTGTTAAAAAGGAAGAGATGTCTTAAGATGGGTAGTTCTAGGTTGGAAAATCCATTTATATAGGGTTTTGTTTTGTTGTGCTCTTATGTTTCGGTTACTGGAGCTTAAGAAACAGAGTGACAGGCCAGTTGGGAAGGTTGACCTTATAGATTTACAGGTCAGAGGTTTGGACGTAGAAGGAAATCCATCAACTCCAGGGACAGTCATAATCAGGAAGAGTAGTGGAGGTCAGGAGAGTAGTTGGAATATGCACGCTGTTCACAGGCTTCCCAAACAAATTCACATCACAGGTTGACTATTAAGAGCACATGATTAGCTGGCACAGTTCAGTCCAAGAATGCGCTGATTCAGCTTACTGTCCTAGGGTCTCTAGCAGGAAATACAGACTTTTAAGACTGGCACCCAGTACAGGAAGCCTGTTGTGGAAAATGGTTGCTATAAAGCCGAAATCCGGAACCAGGAGAACTAGGGGCCACAGAAGAGGCCAGTGTTGGAGAATTGGACTTTGACCTGAAGCTGAGCTCCTTGCTTTCTTTCTGCCCAAGGGCAATATTGACTCCTTGGATTGAGGCAGGCTGAGCCAAAGTAGAAAATAAAGTGACTATACTTGCTTGCACTGGAGTTACAGGCCTACCCAAGATGTACAGTCATATGTTGCTTATATTCTGAGAAATAAGTTGGGATACATTCTGAGAAATGACTCGTTAGGCAATTCTGTTGTATGAACATCATAGAGTGCACATGTACAGACCTAGAGGGTATGGCCTACTTACACACCTAGGCTCTATGATCTAGTCTATTGCTCCTAGGCTTCAAGCCTAAATAGCATGTTACTGTATTGAATACTGCAGGCATTCGTAACATAGTGATGAGTATTTCCTCCTAGGCTACAAACCGGTATAGCATGTTACTGTACTGAATACTGTAGGCATTTGTAACATAGTGCTAAATATTTGTGTATAAATATATCTAAACACAGAAATGATGCAGTAAAAATACCATGTAAAAGATAAAAAATGGTACACCTGTAAAGGGCACTTAACTGTGAATGGGGCTTGCAGGACTGGAAGTTGCTGTGGGTGAGTCAGTGAGTGAGTGGTGAGTGAATGTGAAGGCCTGGAACATTACTGTATACTACTGTAGACTCTAAACACTGTATACTAAATTTATTAAAAATATTTCTTTAATAATAAGTTAACTTTAGCTTACTGTAACTTTTTAACTTAGAAGCTTCTAAATTTTAACTTTTTTACTTTTTTGTAAAACGGCTTAAGACAAACACATTGTAAAGTTATACAGAAAATATTTTCTTTATATCCTTATTCTATAAGCTTTAACATTTTTTATTTTTATATTTTACTTTTTAAACATTTTTGTTAAAAACTAACACACAGCCCCCGCTCAGTGGTTAGAGCGTTGGCCCTCAGACTGAAGGGTCCTGGGTTCAGTTCCGGCCAGGGGCACATGCCTCAGTTGCAGGCTCGATCCCGGCCCTGGTCGGGGCTCATGTGGGAGGCGGCCTTTTGATGTGTCTCTCTCACATTGATCTTTCTCTCTTTCTCTCTCTCCCCCCTTCCACTCTCTCTGAAAAGCATTGGAAAAAATATCCTTGGGTAGCGATGAAAAAAACAACAACAAAAAACTAACACACCCATTAGCCTAGACCTACACAGCGTCAGGATCATCAGCATCACTACTTTTCACCTCCACATCTTATCCCACTGGAAAGCCTTCAGGGGCAAGAACATGCATGGAGCTGTCATTTCCTTTGATGATAATGCCTTCTACTGTAATACCTCCTGAAGGACCTGCCTGGGTTCTTTTGAGAAGGTGTCAGTTTTTTCAGAAGTATGTTCATATTGGTTTGCTTAATTTCTTTTTTCAAATCATACATTTGCTTCTAAGTAGATAGTGCACCACGAATATTCCTCTCTATTAATGAAAACCATTTGATGTTGGGGCCCATGATTTCAAACTTTTGAGGAGCTTGTTGGTCTATAAGAGCTTCTGCTAAACCCTTCACTATGAATTTTTTTGGGGTTTCTTTTTATGGGACCACTGTTGTATGTGTGGTTTGTCGTTGGCCAAAACATCATTGTGTGGTGCATGACTATGTGTTAAGTGAGTAGATAGAAGCAAGCAGGGGAACAACTGGGTTATTAAACTCAAGTTTTTCATGTAAGAGACAGTAGGTATCATATTACCTACCCCCTAAATATCCTGTAGGCCAGGGATCAGCAAACTTCTTTAAAGCACCAGATAGTAAATATTTTGGCATTTATGGGTCATACAGTCTCTGTTGCATCTACGTAAGTCTGCCATTGTAGCACGAAAGCAGCCATAGAAAAATTCGTAAATGAATGAGTAGCCACTTTCCAATAAAACTTTATTTATGGAGACTGAAATTTGAATTTCATATAATTTTCACAGGTCATACAATATTAGTCTTAAAAATACTTTTAAAAAGTTTTAAAACTTATTATTATTTTTTAAATAGATACTTTATTCTTAGATCTTGGCTGTGTAAAGAATAGGCAATGGGTTGCATTTTGTTCTACTGGATATAGTTTGCTGACCCCTGTTTTAGGCAAATAAGTGACTAACAGTTATGATGTAGAAAGCTTAGCATTACTGAAATAGATATTCTCCAGTTGGTGACACTGTCTTGTTTTATAGGTGACACAGATGATAAAAACCGTTCGAGAATTTAGATGTGACATCTGCAGCAGGTTCAGATCTCTCAGCTATCAGACAGACTGGATACTTCGTAAAGATTGTCGTCTGTTATGCACAGAGAGCCAAAACCCGTTACTGAAATTGTCTGGGTGAGCTGCCTGCTGGGTCCAGTGATGCGCTAGTAGACAAAGACGTTGAAAGAGAAGGCTCACTTACTCTTTGGATGACTGGCAGAATGAGACACCAGTATGGCATCAAGCCCTACTATGATTCCAAGGACTTTATGACTGTATGATTAAATAAAAGTGACTTTTTTTTTTTGGTGGGGGTGGTTGAAGTAAATTTGATTTTTACTTGGGGAATGTGTAATGTATTATTATTCCATAATGATATATGGTGGTGGTTTTGGTAATCAATCTTTAAAGTTCCTGTATATTTATGGAACTTCTGTAGTTAAACTTTTTATTATTGGATTCTCTTACTGTAAGGCAAATACTGTAACGAACAACATCCGCTTAACCTAAAAAAGTTAACCTAAAAAGATTAATTTAAGGACTATGATTTTCACAGAGAAATTTTTACTTAAAGCATTCTATTTACAAAAGGTTACTGCATCCAGAACTTTCTAGGAAACCGTCCTTTTGTGTATTCTCTTGATTCAGTAGTAAGTAGAAAATCATACCATATAGTATTAACAGTTAATAAATTAATAATAACTACTCATTAAAATACTAATTAATAACTTCAGACCTGTTAACCAAATTTACTTAAAATGATTTAACAAACAGGTGTGACCTGGAAATAAACCTGTGTATTTACTAAAACTATTGAATCACAAGAAAACTAGAACATCAAAGTATTCTCTAAACCAAATCAGTGTTTTATTTGGTTAGAGTTTCTGCTTTTGGCATTCACCTATTTATATCTTTTATAGAGGATTTGAAAGCAGTTCTGGGAAATGGGGTAGGTAGATTCTCTCAGAGTTGACTCTCATTTATTTCCTCAGCCAGTCTTTTAACATTTTTTCTTCCTTCTTAGTGTTCAACAAAACTCTTGCAGCCCAAGATATAAAACATAGATTACATTTATATAGTTCATACAGCTCATTTACAAACAGAAGATTCCCTCATGACTTACCTTGAAATCTTTGTTCCAGGCCTGTACAACTCAGCTTGTCAATGTGCTAATGCCACTACGGCACGGTTTTGGTCAGAATGCAGTGCAACTAACATAGCCATTCTGCCAGGAAAAAGATCTGAGGGGAGTTACACACATCTAATTTACAAGTCAGATTAGAGATCAGAATCATATGATAGCTTTATGTGGAATTGATTTCATTTCATGGTTTTTAAGCTATTTTTTCATTGAAGCAATGCCTGTAACTGAAAGACAGGTGTGTTGTAGCATTTGAATGCCTTACATTCTTTTGAATCCGTAATGAAGGGATGTTCGTAGACATTTAGATCCTAAACCTCGGGGATTTTGGAATGAAATGCTCTGTCATTCATTTATTGTGCCATAATTGAACTGCCCTGCAGATTTTGTTTGGGATTATTGTGATTCATATTTGGAAAACTACCATTTTCAGATATAAGGTACTTTAGGAAAGACTGGTTCTGTGTGTGTGTGTGTGTGTTTAAATAAAGCAGAAAACATCATTTTACCTTATAAATAGGATATATTTAATAAGAAATACTTGCATTTGACATAGATAGGCATTTAAATTAGGAGTTCCATTGTGGTCTGAGGTGAGGGCATTAAGTAGAGCACTTTATAGATTGCCATTTTTTTCCTAAAGTAAACCTCTAAAAAAATATAACATAAAGAAGAATGCACAAATATAGCTTGGTAAGTGGCAGTTATTCTCTTATTTCACCTGTTTGTATTGAAATTGAGAAGACGTAAAAATAAGTATGAAAAACTAGTTCATTGCAGAAAGGATGTGCTGTTTATTGGAATTTGAGAACAGAGTTGCAGAAAAGCATGTGTGTTCATCTTTTAGATAGTTCTTGAGCCTGCAATTGATTTAGTATAACAAGGAGTAGAAAATCCAGGTGTTTCAAACCAGTTTTGTATCAGTAGTCAAAAGATTTAGTTTTACCCTTTCCCCATCCCTGCCACCTGCTGAGTTCTTGTTAATTAATTTCCGATACGACAAAACATTGGGATTTAGAATGTCTTGAGAATTCATCAATTACATCTTTCTGTCCACTGTATTTTACATAGGACTTGTTTAGTTGTTAGAATTATAGGACACGAGAAAGGTAGCGATCCTGACTGTTACGGACTTCAAAAAAGACTTTTGAACAAAGACCAAGGTAAGGTAAGGATGTAGGGGGCATACATTCCTGTGCTTATTTCAGTAGAGCAGTGACAGTTTAGGTGGTTCCTTCCCCCACTACCTTTCCCCTTAACTGAGGAGTGTTGCAACGAAGGCAGGAAAACAGTTACTGACATTTTCAACTCAAAATGTTAGAAAGGAAAAATGTTTTTTAATTGCTTGGAAATATAGAAAAAATACTAGCAAACGAGGCAGTTGGACAAGGGGTTAGAAGTAAGGAGGGTTATTCAAGAGTAAAGTGGTTGTATAATAATCCTTGCTAGAGTTTTTACTCAAAACAGGAGAAAACTTGGGAAGAGAGATCCGGTAAAGTGATTTAGAAATAGTTGTTATGGAAGTAGGGTAACACGCTCCTCAAAGATTGCTAGTAGGCAGAGAAAATATTGACTAAGTGGGGGAAAGGTTATCTCTGACATGAAATTGCATTCATATTTTATGGTAGTCAAAAGTGAGCACCTGTTTTAGAGAAGGCATCCTGATACTCCCGTTCATTCTGTGCACCGTATGGGTGCTCCTGCAGGCTAAAATTATCCTTGTGACGGTGGGTGAACACTTTAGACTTGGATTTGTGTTTTAGAATCTGATTTAGTTTATTATGATTATTACCAATACATGCTCAGCTTTTGGCAAGAAGTTACACTTTACATTAGCTGGGTATCTTTGACATCCAGAAATAAAATACCGGATGAGATTTAAATCAGTTTTATTGGTTGTAATTTATGTATTAAAAATCCAGTTAATTAATTGTGATGTGTAGATCCATGTAACTATCCACATTCAAGAAATGGAATATTTTAACACCCCCAAACTTCCCTATGCTTCTTTCCAATCAGTTTTCCATCGACAACCACTGTTCTGACTTCTGTTTCCATAGGTTAAGCTTGTTCTTGAACTTTGTATACATGGAGTCATAGAGTATCTACTGTTGTGTACCTGGCTTTTCCTCAGTATGATGGTTTTGAGATTTATCCATGTTACTGTGTGTATTAGTGGTTCATTCTGTTTTGTTGAGCAGTATTCTATTTTACCACAATTTGTATATCCGTAATTCTGTTAATACACTTTTTATTTTATTGGCAATCGTGAATAAAGCTGCTACAAACTGAATTTTTGTATAAGTCTTTTTGTGGACATATGCTTAAATTTCTCTGGATTAAATACCTAGGAATGGGATTGTTGTCATAGGATTGGTGTATGTTTAAATGTTAGAAGTTTATGTGTAACTTTTCCATTATTGACTTGGTTTGTTTTCGGAATTTTTTATTTTTTAATCCTCACCTGAGGATATGCTTTTTAAAATTGAATTTCTGTAGAGAGAGGGTAACGGGGAGAGAGAGAAACGTTGATGTGAGAGAGGAACAGAAGTTGGTTGTCTCCCTCACATACATGCCATATGTTTTAATCTGAATTTTAAAGTGGGCATTCTTCATTTTATGCACTGACTCTTTATTAAGTATGTATATAACTAAGTGAGATGTTCAAATATGAATAATATACTGATCTACTAAGGTAAGATTTGTTTGACCAGATGAGGAATCTCTTTTTTTTCCCTTTTCCTTGATCTGTTTGTTCAATTGCTCCCCATTCCTTTTTTTTTTTTTTTTTTAATTTTGGTAAATCTTTATTTACAAAATAAAGATTTAAATGAAGACTTTAATTAAATGTTAATTTAAATAAGGGGCTCTTAAAATGAAGAGTCCTTTATAATACCAGCAGCAGATGTAATGTAGGGGAATTACACCTAAGGTAATAGGATGACTGCTGGGACTTGTTAGTTTAAGGATTTCAGCTCAAGTTCCAAAGCTGGAAATAAAGGTTAATAAGGATCCTTGTGTTCCTAAGAGGGATGTGGAGCTTCATAAAAAAGTAGAACTGCAGCATCCACTTCCAGTATATAAGAAATTAGGACAGGGTACTGTAAGCCTGATTCAGGGGAAGAACTGTTGGGGAGTCCTGGGACATTTCGCCAAAAGGACCTTTTGTTCCCAGCCCAGGATTTGAGTACGTCTTCCACAAGTATACATTTAAGTTTTTGTCTGGGTGTTTAATGAGCTACATGATCGTGTTTCTTGGTACTGTATGGCACCTTCCATAGAGCTCTTAAGAGAGTGTGACATACATTTCCTAGGGTTTGGGACATTCCTGAACACAGACTTGTTCCCGGAGGGGAGGACAGTGACTGGAGCCCGTGAGGTGATGTGTTGAGAGAGGGCAGTAGTGAAGAGTTGGCATTTGTCTGTCTGGTGTGGTAAGAAGACATGAATTTTGTTTTGTGGACCAAGTAGACGCCAACCATGGGAAGTCACCGGGCTTGAGGTATCTTGGTGGATCCTGCCGAGGAGGACTTTTTGCTGTTTGAGGGGACTATGGGTGAGATAGTAAGAGGTCAGTCTGAGAATGCACCTCCCACTCCAGGGAACTGTGCAGGGTGGAGGGACCAGCCTCTTTGCTTAATTTAGGGCCACTCTGCTGTTAAGACCCGACATGTTTAAACTGGGCTTCTTTGAGAATGAGAGAAGGTGCTATCAATAATTACACGAGGATAACAGATCATCCTGCTTCCTGGCCATCTAAAACCCCTGGAACTAGCACACAGGACATTTGTCCCTCTTCTTTCTATCCTGATTCGGAGGAACCAGGAAGTGAGTAAGGAAGTGGAGACGGGTGAAAGAGCCAGAAAGAATATTGAGGGGTAAAAAAAACCCACTCCCCCAAAACCAGATTACATACATTTTCTTGGCTGGCCTATGTTGAGGCGAGGGTGTGTAGATAGAAGTTTAATAGGATTTAGCTGAACAAACCTTTAGTGAGTACCTACAACCTGGTATGTAAGGTACTATGTTAAGCATTTTAGGGAAGGCAAAGATGACTTAAGACTTTTGTCCTCAGGGAGCTTCTGCTTTAGTGTAAATGGCTAAACTTGATCCTTGGCAGAGTGACATAGTGCTCTAGACATGTAAGTGGCAGTGCTGTGGACACGTGGCAGAAACCACTGGCGTTCAGGGCAGGCTTTGTGGGAGAGGCTGGGTGTGGGCTGGGCCTTGAAGGAAGAGAGGCTGTCAGCTGGGAAGAAAGGCGTTCTCATATGAGGAATAATCGGAGGCATGCAGTTGGGAACAAGTAGACGGCTGGGGAGAAATAATGCTGATCCACACTGAAAATTTTTCTGTTTAGAAAGTGGTTTCAACCACCAGTTAAGCTTGCCCATGTTATAATTTTGGTTGAAGTTTGATAGTTTTTGCATTTTTACATTTCTTTAGTAATGCACAAAGCGTCTTCCTGTATGAGGTATGGTGTGGAAATGTTATTCACTGTAGAACCTAGCTTCAAAACCAAACTTCTAAGTCTAATCACAAAGTCTATTACTTTCCTTGATTTAAAACAGTAAAATGTAGAGAAGATGATAATTTTCACATACGATCCTAAGGAGCATTTGGCAGTGCAATTAGTTTCATAACAAGTGATTGTTTTTTAAAGCCTTTCCAGAATAAGAATGAGTATCTTGATGCTAGTGTCACTTTTAAATAGCTGTAGCTCCAGGAATGTGTCTGTTCACATTGTTATCTTAAATATACACCTTATCTATCCATATTGCTGTACTTCAGATGTGAAAGTAAAAATAAAGGTGTGAAGTGCCTAGCAGACTTGTATGGATTTATGTAAATTAGAAAACACAACAATCCATTAGTGCCGAGGCCTCATGCATTAAAATCAAGTAAGAAATATTTCCTAAAAGTTTTATGCACGCCCCCCCCCCCACCGTTAGACTCAGTGATTTTCTTTGCAAAAGAGTTAAAATCTTTAATTTACAAGAGGGTTTTTTTCTTTGAACTCTAGACATATCCACTTGCCTTGCGATACCTCCATATGGATATTTAAAGGTATTTAAAAATAAAATGCTCAAAACTCAACAGATCTTTTTACCCAGATTTGTTTCATCTGTAGTCTTCTCCATCTAAGTTAATGACAAGTTAACTTTATCATAAAACTACTACCTGGTTCAACCCATTATCATGTCTTAGATGACTTTAATAGCCTTCTGACCTGGCCTCCCTGCTTCCTCCTGCAGTATTCAACTCCTAACCCAGCAGTTTAGTCTAATCTCAGTGCAGTAGCCAAGATAATCACATTTAAAACACACATCAAGTCCTGTGATTTTTCAGTTCAAAACTTCAATTGTTTCCTTTCTCACTCACATTAAAAGCTAATTCCTTTGTAGTAGCCTGTAAGGCTCTACATAGTATTGCCCCATCTGCAGCCTCATCTTTTGACTATCTGTTTATTACACTCCATTCACACCTGACACCATATTGTTCCTTGAATAGCTGACCTCAGGGCCTTTGCACGTATAGTTCCCTCTGCTTGGAATGCTCTTTCCCCAGATAACTACTTAGCCTATTCCCTAACCTTTCTTGGATCTTGATTGAAATGTTATGTTCCTAGTAAGACCTTCCTTCACCATCTTATTTAAAACACCCTCCTCCCCGCAATTGCTTAATTTTTCTGGTTAGCACTTTTTCAAACTATGTTTTACTTTTACTTTTTTTGTGGTCAGTCTTTTCCTGTTAGGATAAAAGCTTGTGAAGGCAGGGGATTTTGTTTTGTTTACTACTGTACCATCACACTTAGAAAAATTCCTGGCACTTGGTACTTAATACATAATTGATTCAATAAATAAAAGACTATAAAAGACTTATATAGGGGTGAAACCTATAGTAAAACTTGATGTGCCCTTTATTGGCATCTTTGGACAGTGGTGGTATTTCCAAATGTCTGAATGTTTCTTCTTTTTTTAATTTTTAAATCAAATATATTGGGGTATAACACGTATAAAAAGGTACTTGTTTTAAATGTACATTTCAGTGAGTTATATGTATGTAACTACTACTACAATCAAAGTACAGAACATTTTTATCACCTCAGAAAGTTCCTTGTGACCCTTTGCAGATCACTTCTCCCACCCTCCCTCATCCTTATTTCCAGACAACTATTGATCTGATTTTTGTCACTATGAATTAGTTTTACCTTCTCTAGTGTTTCATATGAAGAGAATCATATATTATGCACTCTTTTCAGCATGATGATTTTGAAACACTGTTATTGTATGTCTTAGTAGTGAGTTCTTTTTCTCTGCAGAATAGTGTTCATTGTATAAATGTGCCACGATTTGCTTATCCATTTATCTATTCATGGGCATTTATAGGGAGGAGGTCCTAGTTTTTGCCTATAAGGAATAACATTACCATGAATGTTCCTGTACAAGTCTTTCTGTACATATGCTTTAATTTTTCTGGGTTAGGTACCCAGGAGTAGATTTGGTAAGTGTATATTTAACTTTGTAAGAAACAGCTAAACTTTTTGAAGTGATTGGTACCATTTTCCCAAGCACTGTATGAAAGTTTTAGTTGCTCCCATTCTGGCCAATACTTAATGTTACCATTCTTTTAAATTCAGGCATGCCTAGTGGGTGTGTAGTTGTATCTCACTGTGGTTCTTGTTTTCATTTCCCTGATTACTAGTGACCTCTATCTTTTCATCTACTTGTATCTGTTCAAATTTTTTGCCCATTTAAAAACATTGGATTCTTTGTATTCTTGTCATTCAATTATAAGAGTTCTTTATATACATGGATACAAATCCTGTGTGAGACATTTTCCTCCTGGTCTGTAGATTGCCCTTTTCTTTCATTGCTGGTGTCTTTTGAAGAACTAAAGTTTTAAATTTTGAATAAATACAGTTTATCAATAATTTATTTTTTTTGTCTGTACTTTCTTTCTTTTCTTCTTTTTTCTTTTTTGGTTCTGCCTAAGAAATCTTTGATAACTCTAGGTTGTGAAGATTTTTTCCCCTGAATTTTCTTCTAAATGTTTTATAGTTTTAGCTTTTTATATTAGGTCTCTGGTTCATTTTGAGTTAATTTTTATGTAGAGTGTGAAGTTATGATCAAGTTTCATTCTTTTTCATATCTAGTTGTTCAAGGACCATTTGTTGAAGAAAATAATTTCTTTTGAGTTTTGACACTTTTGTTAAAAATCAACGAATCACATATATATATGCATATATATGTGTCTTTTCCTAGACTATTATAATGATCTATATTTCTATCA